GAGCGCCGCCACGCTCCCAAGCGGTGCACTGTAGCAGTGCGCCACCGGGCCGGCCCTGTATCTTTACTTTTAATCAAGAAAAACAAAGGTACCCAAGGGACTTCCGCTTATATCCCATTGGCCCGACTCCTCTCATATTGCTACCTTTCTTTTCTTTTTTTTTTTGTCCTTTTTGAGACCAGCCGCACCGCGCTCAGCCAGTGAGCGCTGTGAACGCACTGGTCATCCCTATATAGGATCCGAACCCGTGGCGGGAGCGCTGCTGTGCTCCCAGCGCAGCACCCTCCCAAGTGCGCCACGGGCTTGGCCCTGCTACCTTTATTTTCAAAGATGATGAAGCATGTATCCTGCCTTTGACTGGGCACATGGCTGTTCCAATCAGAGTCACAATTTTGTTATCAGGAATGAAGGGCAGAGTGGATATTAAGTAGATAATTTATAGTGTCTGTCACACCTCTTATCCCAGGTTGAATAATATACCATATAATGAGAGGCTAATAAAGATAAAACAAAAAGAAGATATCAGGTCAAAATTGGTTGCTTTGGGGCCGGCCCGGTGGCGCACTGGATAAGTGCGCCGCTTGGGAAGCGTGGCGGCGCTCCCGCCCGAGGGTTCGGATCCCACATACAGACCGGTTCCCGCTCACTGGCTGAGCGAGGTGCGGGGGCAACACCGAGGGTTGCAATCCCGTTGCCGGTCCCCGGTCCGGTACGGGGGCAACACTGAGGGTTGCGATCCGTTGCCGGACACGGAGAAAGACAAAAAAAAAAAAAAAAAAAAATTGGTTGCTTTGGCTACAGTGCCAATGATAGCAAAGTTTGTAATTAGCGCTGGTGTAGGTTCTCTCACAAGTCCTGAAATCTCTTCACAAAAAAGTATATGTATGTGTTGGTTGGGATACAGAGGCATCAGTGGAGGAGAGGGGACAGGTATTGCTACTAGATGTGCTGGGAGGCAGTAAATGGAGAGGAAGAGAGAGTGGATGTTAGAGGACAGAGGAAGGAATCACACTTATTGAGCATCTGTGTGCTGGGCTTAAGAGCCTCTTATGCTCATTATTCATTTAAACCTTATAATAATGCTGTCAGATAGGAGTTATATTTTTCCATTTTACAAAAGAGAAAGCTGAGTCCCTGGGAGGTTAAATAACTTGTCTAAGACCTACTCACTTAGGAAGAAGTCAGGTTAGAAATTCTACCCAGGACTGTCTGGTCCCCAAGCATCTGCTCTTTCCACTGTATCAGAATATTAATCATTTAATACATGCTCTCTTTTTTTGCCAAATAGATGACTTGTTACAGACCATTCAGAGTACTTCTGGATTAGCTGTTACTCTTTTCATTAAGACTATGTTTCATCCATCTGAAAAGATTCCTGATTTGGTGAGTGCATCTCCTTCTTAGGATTGCGCTTTATTGAGAGTTAAACATATGTTTTAAAAATATTTTTAAAGAAGTAGATTAAAAAAAATTTTATTTTTGCATAGTATAGATCTTTCTAATGACCTTTTTCTCTTATAGTAAGAGGCAATTCCAAGAATTCAGGTAAAGCCAAAAAGGAAAAAAAAAAAGACAATAACAGTCACCTATAAATCCATCTCATGAAGATAATCACTATCAACATATTTGGTGTCTATACTTCTAGTCTTTTCTTGTGCTCTTTGTTCAGTTTCATCTCTTACTAGTATCACAAATGATATTTGTGATATTAAAATTGTGTAGAGATTAATGTATAGATGTATACACAGTAGTTTCTGATAAATATGTTCCTTATGTTAAGAATAACCCAAATCACGTACAAGGGCTCTTTAAAAAGTTTCTGGGGGGGCCGGCCCGGTGGCGCACTGGAGAGTGTGCCGCTTGGGAGTGTGGCGGCGCTCCCGCCGAGGGTTCGGATCCCATGTGGAGACCGGTTCCCGCTCACTGGCTGAGCGTGGTGCAGGCGCAACACTGAGGGTTGTGATCCTGTTGCCGGTCCCTGGTACGGGCGTGACACCGAGGGTTGCGATCCCGTTACCGGTCAGTAAAAAAGACAAAAAAGGAAAAAAAAAAAAAAGTTTCTGGGGGCCGGCCTGTGGCTCACTCGGGAGAGTGCGGTGCTGATAACACCAAGGCCACGGGTTCAGATCCCATATAGGGATGGCCGGTTCGCTCACTGGGTGAGCGTGTTGCTAACAACACCAAGTCAAGGGCTAAGATCCCCTTACTGGTCATCTTTTAAAAAAAAAAAAAAAAAAGTTTCTGGAAAGATTCATATTATCTTTTAATTCTGTTTTTCCATGAACTTTTGAAGTACCCTCGTAATTTAGACAGGAAGCATGCTAGTGTCAATTATTCAGCGAATTCGATCTGTACAGAAAGTTTAATTTGATAATTTAAGTCATAATCCTTACTACTTGCATTATTTTCCCCCTTACTGTATTATCTAGAAGTTTTATCTTTTTTTCCTGAGCTTATGCAAAATGTATGTACACTATTCTATGAGGTCACATAAAGTAATTATCATTCAATAAAATTGAAAATATTACTCAAATCAACTCTAAAAAGCATTAAACTCATCCACCTGCAGGTGGCGATGTGTTGTGCTTTACCAGTACATTCAAACTACAAAAGGATTTATGTACTTAGATTTAATTTTCTTTCCTTTCAATATTAATATAATAATGTCAACGTTTGTGACTGTTTTACCTTTATGTTTAGTTTTTTTCCTAGGATGTTTCAGGGGAAAGAGATTTTTGGATTTGTGTTTTGAAATCTCTGAAGTTTTAAAAGCTTTATGCATATTAGCTCTGTTGTATTTTTCCAGATTAGCAGTTTGCTTCTTCGTTCAGTGGAGTGCACCAGCATCCCTGGGTGGTTTATGAACAGCTGCAGGAACCTTTGTTGTGCTGATGTCTCTAGGTCAGCTCTCTTATTCCTGTGTCAGGGGACACTTGCCATGTTGGACTGGCAGAATGGAAGCATGGGCCTGAGTGGGGAGGCCCTGCTCTTGGATATAGCACATGTATTGTTCACCTTGAGTTCACAGTGAGTTTTGATGCTATTGTCTCATATTTTGTTTTGCTTTTAAGATATTTCAGAGATGCAACTGAGCCAGCATACTTGTAATTCAATGAGAAGTAGACAGGATAAGTTCTAAATTAAAAGAACATATATGTAGGGAGTGAAGTGAAAGAGAAGATAGGATGATGGGAGAGAGAGTTACAGAATTTATTGCTGCAGGTTAACCTGTAATGAACATTTCTAAAATTAATTTTAACATTCAGTGTTTATGCTAGCGTTTTTTAAAACTATAAACATTTCTATTTGTATACTGCATTAGAATTTATGAAGAACTTCAATGTAGGTAGTCTAATGTGATTCTCACAGTTCTGATACGATAAGAAGTCTAATTTGATGCATGGGTAAAGTGAACCTTAGAAAAGTAAATGCTTACTTAAAAGCATATTGCTAATAAGAACCTGAGCCAGGACCTATAACAAGTGTTCTGACTTCATGGGGCTATATTTTGCGTATTTGGTGATTTTGCCATCATAGCTGAAAGTGATCATGAGTTTAAAATGTCAGAACATAGATACAGCTTGAAAGTAATGAGCTTGGGGATAAAGGAGGAAAACTACAGTGTCCTGTAATAATTTTGTATATGTTGGAGCTATAATTTACATATTTAGTGTAGTTTTTTAAATATATCCACAGAGTTGTACAACGCTTACCATAATCAACTTTAGAATATTTTCATGATCTCAAAAGAAATCCCATTCTCCTTAACCTTCTTGAACCCTAGGCCCTCAGTTTTTTTTATAAAACACCTGTGAAACCATCATCACAATCAAGATGGTGAACACTTCCATCACCCCCAGAAGTTTTCTTGTATTTCTTTTTGGATTATTTTTTATAAGGTGAAAAATATCATGTACAAATTTGAGATCTGTTTTGGCTTTGTGAGTTTTTGTTGTTGAAAATTTAGTAATGATTGAATTTCCTGTTCATTTTTTGTTTTTAATATTTCTTAAGTCTAAATGATTATAAAATGAAATATTTTTTACTAGTCAGTTTATAATAATGTGGTTCATGGCTCGTTTTTCTTCAGGATTAAGGAATCAACGCTGGAAATGTTTCTTTCTAGAATCTTGGCATCTTGGACTACTTTAGCTGTACATCTCCTTGAATCAAGTTCCCCAAACCTGAAGGACAGTCTGAATGGGAATTCAAGTATAGTTGGGAAACTTTTGGAATATGTCTATACCCACTGGGAACATCCATTGGATGCTCTGAGGCACCAAACTAAAAACATATTTAAAAATCTTCTCCAAATGCACCGGCTTACTACAGAAGGAGCAGATTCAGTCACCGATCCTTTCTTTTTAGAATTGACTAAGCGTCTTCTGCAATTGGAATGGCATATTAAAGGGAAGTACACATGCCTTGATTGTTTGGTAGAGTGTCTAGGAATTGAACATATTTTGGCAGTAGATAAAACTATTCCATCTCAAATCTTAGCAGTGATGGGGGACCAGTCATTGGTACCTTATGCAAGTGACCTTTTGGAAACCATGTTTAAAAATCATAAGAGTCATTTGAAATCTCAGACTGTTGATAATACTTGGATTCACAAGTGGCACGAGACTTGGGTTTCTCCTCTCCTTTTTATACTATGTGAAGGAAACCTGGATCAAAAATCTTACGTGATTGATTATTACTTGCCAAAATTATTGAATTATAGCCCTGAAAGTTTAAGGTACATGGTAAACGTTCTTCAGACTTCAATTGATGCCAAAACTGGTAAGAAAAATAAGTTTTTGTTTTAGTAACTTCTAGTTTCAATGCATAAATGTAATTACCTAGGCAGGTGTTGACCATATTAAAATTTAATTATTACCACTTCTATAATTAGTAAAGGAGAACATTAATGATATGTATTTCAATTTGAAATGAATGTTCCTATAAATAGTTGAATGGAGATTTTTTGCTGAAGTCATTTTTATAAGCTAAAAAGTGATTCCAGTTACAAATTATGACAAGGTTTTGATTCATTTTACCAAATTCTCAATTTGTTATTTTGTTGCCAGACTGGAGTTTGTGCGTTTTATATAATTTGCTTATTCAAGTGATAGAGTCAGTAATTAAAAATTGTGTTTGGCAAGGTTAAAGACAGGTAAATTTGCTGTAGCAAGTTTTTGTCTCTGGGGAAGAAAATAAATTTGGAGGCATAATCCAAAACAGCTATCTGTAGTCATTTAGGAGCAAACATCCCATTGAAACTCAGTAAACTTGAAGGAATCAGTGCATTAAAGCATAATTCAGTAATTAATGTGTAAAATGATGATCCTGACTCATTATGTAAATCTTAAAATTATTATTGTCTGTTTAGCAAAGCAAGAATATGGTATCCTACAGCACAATATATAAAAGAAATATTTTCAACTAAAATGTTAAAAACTTTCAGTATTTCAAAGGTAACCATGAGGTAGCAGGAAAATTTGATTCCTGTACACAAAAGTAAGCCATGATAAGCCATAATTGTTCTTGCTTTTTTGAGAAGCCACCTAAAATTCAGGATTCATGAATCTGTTATGAAGTAAGGTCGTCTTTACGTTTATATCAAGGTGCTCTGTGACTCAGAACTCCCTGCCCCCTCAGTAATGGCTGATGAAACGATCAGGTTCTTTGTTATCCTCCTTTTGTCTTCTCTACTAGGGAAACAGTAACTCCAAAATATGCAGAGAGGTTCAATGCTTATTTTTAGAGAAATAATAGTCTTTGGTCACTGAAGTGTTTTTCCTGTTCTTGGCTGAAAGTCATTTTAGTTTTTATATTGTTTTCATTATTTCTCCACCTGATTTTTCTCCCGATTCACTCCTGGTTTGTTTTCTAAGTGTCAAGGAAAAAGTAAAAATATTAACAAAGAAATTGTGGTTTCTGTATTTTAATAATAAGATAATTGTATTGATTGAATTTATTGACACGAGAACAATTAAGTCATTTACGATAACGATCATTTTAGAATAGGAACTTTAATTCGTGTTAGAATTTAGTTTAAAATGTTATTTTTATTTCTTGAAATATAATGTTAATTGGAAACATGAAAATTGGCAACTGAAAATTTTAGTAGTCATTACATAGCACAATACTGGTCTTTCTTATTGTGTGTTCAGGACAAGAACAATCATTTCTATCCTTAGAGTCTTGTAATAGCAGAGGGGCTCTGGGAGCTTTGATGGCATGTCTACGAATAGCTAGAGCTCGCGGACATCTTCAGTCTGCAGCTGATACCTGGGAAAACCTTGTGTCTAGTGCAAGAATAAAGCAAGGCTTAATTCATCAGCACTGCCAGGTAAGTAAATAAAATAACTGGGAACTTGTAATGCAGTAGATCTCTGATTCTTTTCTTCATTTAGCAGTCCCATATAGAGGCCCCTACATTGTGCCCAGCAATATTTTAGGGTGTTCATAAAGAGGATGACTAGAAAGTAAAAAGTGTTGACCTTGTACTCAGGCTACTTAAAGTTTAGTTGAGGGATAAGAAAACTTGCATAAAACAACTGGGAACTCTTAGAAGACATTACAGATACAAGTGAGCCCTTATGCATAAGGACTTGCTTGGGAGGCTCAGAAAAGACAGATCAGAGTATGTGGTGGTTAATTAGGAGAGTGTTAGATGTGATTAGAGGAGAGGAGGCATTACAGCAGCACACAAAATGGAAAGACACCTAAACAAGGTCTGGAGGGTGATTAAGGACATTGTTAGGAGTGGAGTGTTTTTTCCATTTTATGGAAGATTCCAACACTAGGCTGGAGAAAGACTTCATTGGTCACACTGAGCCACTCTGTCTTCAGCAAGGAAGTGGCATTAATGGAAACACAAGTTTCCATAGTGGGAGCAAAAAGGAACCAGGAGACCAGTTAGAAGTGCATGGCAGTAATCTGAAAGAGAAGTGACAAGGTAAAGTGGTCACTGAGAAAAAAGAAAAAAGAGGAATGAAACTGAACATTACCGTGGAATGAGTCTTTTGACGGTTTTTATAAATCTCCTATCTACACGTTTAATAAAATAGTTTTATAGGAAATAACCACAGGATCTTTGGGATTTAGGCAACCTTTCTGAGGTACTAAAGTTGAACTGAAGTTTACTTTTTTTCCCCCTCTGGTAGCCTCATAAATAATTAAACATTTCATGTGGTTTAGGCTTTGCGTATTTTGTTGGAAAATTGACATTTTATTGCTTGATGTATTTTAGGTACGGATAGATACATTAGGCTTGATTTGTGAAAGTAATCGAAGCACAGAAATTGTTTCCACAGAAGAAATGCAGTGGATTCAGTTCTTTATCACATACAATCTTAACAGCCAGTCTCCAGGAGTGCGGCAACAGATTTGTTCTCTTCTTAAAAAGGTAGAATTTCCCATCAGAACGTATAAGAAAATAGTGAACTTTGCTCTGGAAATAGTTTTTAAAAAGAGCGCAGATGTTGAGAGTGTGTGGGAATGGTCATGGAATTGGGCTACCACATCTCTTCATGGCCCTTCTGTGCCCTGTTCTATGATTCCATAAATTTGGGATTAAATCCAGAGTGAAAAGTCCTCTCAGTTTGGTGTAGTAAAGCAACCTCGAGCTCTTGTTTTGAAATGAAAAAGTCTAGTGCTGGAGTTCTCAGGATATAAGGTGGTTTTGAGAAAACTGAGGTAACAGGAGAAAGGATGCCCTTGCATTTTTATGGTTTCTTTAAGCTCCTCATGAAATGGACATTATTAAATAATCCAACTTGAATTAATCACACAACACATTTATGGGGGTGAAGAATTGGTAGAGTATAGAAATGAGTATATCATCTTCAAGTTCATGCTCATTTAAAGGAAATAGGAGAACTGTGTGGTTTCATGACCATATTCTGGTTTGCGGTAATACTTTGTTTTTAGTTTAAAAATGTTAATTTTCTGTCAGAAAGAAACATATAAATATTAAGAGTTTAAAAACCGGTATTCTCCTTGCCTGAAGTTTTATTCTAAAGAATTTTGTCTTTCAAACTGATATTTAAGTTTGTGTGACTCACATATGCTTTTCTTTATCTCAAAAGTTGTTTTGTAGGATACAGGAAAGTTCTCAGGTACTTTATAAATTGGAGCAGAGTAAATCTAAACATGAACCAGAGAGTGAGTTAACCAAACAGCACCCTTGTGTTTCTTTACAGCAATATAAGGTAGGTATATATTTCTAGACATCCAAATTTTTAAGAGACCTAAAACAATTATGAATTAGCATTAAATGGAAATAAATGGAAACTTCTTCGTGCATTTGTTTGTCTTTTTCACTTCAAGTTGGGTGTTACATATTCCTTCTGGTGCTTTGGCATTCCACTTGAGGTAGTCTGTGTTGTGGAACCAGTGGTGCACTTGAGGACTGTTACAGAATGACATTAGTGGGCTAACCTCAATAACTTACAGCTTATGTGGGCCATACGAATTTAGTACTTTAACAAAAAGGTAATTGCTAGCCCTGAACTCCTCCACCCTCCACAAGGTAGAAGAATCTGCTGTAGCTGGGTCTGCTTCTTCTTGAGGCTGATATGACTTACATGGTCCAGCTATGGAGGGAAATTCCTGTCTACTGCACTTTGGAGTGACTTGAAGAGTAGGGCTTGGTTTCAGGGCACTGTGTTAAACGGATGGATGGAGCACCCACGTAAAGCAGCTCCAGTGTGGACCAGGGCTCTCCCTGACAGTCTTCATTTTTTTTTCAGCAGAACGGAATAGATTTTCAGTGGTTTCTTACCCTAAATCTGACACATCCTTATTTTCTCCTAAGGCCTAGATAGAAGACAGAGCTCATCAATTTTATTTTATTTAGGCAAACAGGTATAATAAATTAATAATACATTTGAACTATGACATACTCACCATCTACCATAAACATTAGTATGGATGGCCTTGGTTTTTAATTTTGTGTTTAGAAGGTAAAAAACCTTCTGAAGAATATTATTGTGCAGAGCTTTTAAAAATCCCAACAAGGAAGATTTGAAGGTGACAAGCTGAACTTTAAAGACATAAGTTTAGTCCCGATTCTGCCACTTACTAAATTTGGCTGACTTAAGAGTCTCCTCAACCGTAAGTGGTATTAGTAACCTCTCTCAAAAGGTCGATTTTGAGGATTAATTGAGAAAGTTCTTTGTAAACTATGAATCACTCTCAAAAACCTCACTGGGAGTCATTAAAAGTGACTAGAATATGTATTGAGTCTCTGTTGTGTGTGGGAGTTATTTTTTAGCCTCTCTTAGATCATTGCTAGATTTAAGAAAACACATTTCTTTTGCTTCTTTTTGGAAGGGGTAAAATGATGTTTGTCAAATCTCAATTAGGTATTTAGAAACACAAAAACTGCTTTGTAGATTGAGATTCTGAATTTTCATGTGTGCATGTTTTCTTGGTTTGTGCTTATAGAAATTTTTTGAAAATTAGTCCTTAGAGTCTTAATCTGAGTCAGTCTCATGGTTGTAATATTTTCTGACTGGTAGTCACCTGTGGCTTTTAGAAGTTGTGACCTTCACATTGTGTTATTGTCATTGTTCTGACAGTGGGTATCATGCACAGCATGTGGTAGGTTCAGTGCCAATCAACAGACTAAATGCTGGGGGAGAAGAGGAGGCTGTTAGTTTAAAAAGATGTCTTCCAGTCTAGTGGAGATTATTTCATACCTAAATAACTAATATTAGTAACTAGAGTACTTTTAAATTCATTAAATGCTTTATATCCATGTTCTCATCTTTAATAAAAGGCTGTGGAGTAAGCATTATTATCTTCACTTAACAAGTGAGAAAACTGAAGCTTATTAAATTCAGTAACCTGCCCAAGGTCCCTTAGCTAGTAAGTGGTCGAGCCAGGACTCAATTCCAAATCTGCTCTTGACTCCAAAATCTTAGTAGTCTTTTCCTTAGTTATAGCTTAAGAGAAGGCTTGTAGGTAAGAAAGTACAGGGAGAATTTGGGGAATGGTGAATTCACTGGTGTTTATGACATAAAAGATACTTGGGAGAATGGAGGAGTTGAGTAATGGGGAGTGAATCTAGAGAATTAAATTGAGAGTGGATAGCAGACAGTTTTCAATGCTAGGCCAAGGTATTTGGAAGCTTCACTGGGAGCCATTAAAAGTCACTAGAGCATATATCTAGCTCCTACTGTGTATAGGATACTGTGCTCAGCACTAGGGATCCAGACATACGAATGTGGTCCCTGCCTCCATTGTGGTTACAGTCAGATGGGGGAAAGAAGAACTATTTCTAAAAATATTAAATGACAATTAATTAGGATAGGATAATTCATAAAGCTTGTTGTGCTTTAATGTGAATATATTAAAACTATATAATTAAAACTAGCTTATATGATTAAAACTAATCTAACTAGAATAGTTTTTAGTAATTGCCCTATTCCTTTGAAGCTCAATAGAATTAATAAACTGATAAACTCTTAGGGCTTGTGGAGGCCCCAAAGTTGCATGTCCTTCACTGGAGAAATAAGTGCAGATATCTTGTGTAGAGTCAGTTGGGACTAAGGCTGCCTATATGCTGCTCTGGATGTAGCAGTAACAAGATACTTAAGAATTACACCTTTTCCTTGGAATTTTTCTTTGTCTGGCACACAAATTGTCTTTTTTTTTTTTTTTTTTAATTAGAGGAAGAAGACTATCCTGGACAAAATATTTCTCACTTTTCTTTTTTTTAACATTGCATTTTGTTAGAAGTTTTCATTATTTCAAATCATTTGTGTAAACAGAATGGTAGCTCAGGAGTCTTAAAGGGGCAGGTAGAAGACAATGTAAAAGGGGCAGGTAGAATACAATGGAATAGTTGGATCTTTATATGAATTATGTCATTATAACCAACTTATCAAATAGGGTATATGATATTTTTTTGAAATATATACAAAAAAGTATATATACCTTTATTGCCTAGGTACCTCTGATGAGGAAAATCAGTGTCCATACAGCTCTGGCACAAATCGGGGCTGAATGGATCTTGTTTTCACCAAAAATATGTTTTTTCTTATCTGGGCTATAATAGGAATTATACTTCTTGTTGACTCTGTAAAGACAGGATTCATTAAAGTTATGATATAGCTTATGGTTAAAGGTGTCAAGCTAAATTATCAAGTGAAGTGAGTAGCCAGTATTGTTTTAAAAAATTTTTACCCTCAGTTAAAAACAAGCAAAAACACCCACTCTTGATACTCTGAAGATAACCTATTGTGACTCAATTATACTTATTGTAATATTGTTTTTTAGAATTTCATGTCATCTGTTTGCAGCAGTCTTTTTGAAGCATTGTTTCCTGGATCTTCCTACCCAACTAGATTTTCAGCTTTAACCATTTTAAACTCAATAGCTGACATTTTTCCTGTCCTAGAGGGTAAGTTTTCAGTAATGTTTGGGGAAAGTCTTTTTTTTCTTTCGAAATACATACTTGTTTCAACATTTTGCTTTCCTTGAAGTTTCAGTTTTGTTGTCTTTTCTTTATGGGAGGTTTTATTCTTACTATATAATTCTTATTTGTACATAATTAAACTCTCCAGAAAAGAAGAGAAGGTAGAGAAACTGTCTCCTTCTTCACTGATCACTATTTGACCACCCGAAAGTACAGTTTTCATGGATTATGCTTATTATGGGCAGAATTCCTGCTCTCACCTCCCTAATTTGTTTGTTGCTATTTTAAGATAGTGCTCATCTGTTCTTTAAATTTTAAAAATTGAAATAATAGTAGTCTATCTTATATTTAATATTCCTCAGTGAGTCTTTGTGGTTAAAATGTGGTTTCCTTTACATGCGATCTGTTTCATGAGCCTCATTCTGGTTTCAGAAAGATAATATGAAGATGTCATTTCCAGGCACTCTTGTTTAATGATACTCTTTGTTTTCCTTCTTTGGGGTACTTGAGGATGAACATTTAACTTCCCTCTTTGAGTTTTATTTTATTTTATTTTTCCTTCAAGAAATGGTTCTTTTTATCCCCATACATAAGTGTATGTGTGTTTTACACTTGATCTTAGACAAAAGGCTGAGGAGTGTTGAGTGTGTGTGTCTTCATGTGGATTTCTTGCTTGTGTTCAGTCTTCATTGACTGTGTCAAATAGGAAAATATCCTGTTCAGCTACTCCTTCACAAGAATGGCCAAAGGACCAGAGAGCTTTAGACTGTAGTTGGATTCTTTTTTATTTTAAATTTTTAGGCAAAGTATATTTTGGTGGCAGAGGGAATATTTAGTTGCTCTTAATGAAGGCTTGCTGCATTTGAGGAAAATTATTTTTTCAGGTTTTTATTTTGAGAAGATTCAAACACAGGGCAAAGTTTGAAGAGTAGTTCAATAAACAGACATGTACCCTCTGCCTAGATTCTTCAGTTAATATTTTGCCATATTTGCTTTCTTTCTCTCTTTCTGGTTAATTTTATAGCCATAACAAAATGATCATATTCAGAAAGTTTAATGTTGATACAATGTTATTGTTATATAATATATAATTCATGTTCACATTTTGCCATTTGTGGCAACAAATGGCCTTTTATAGAAAAAATTTCTTTCTACAGTCTGGGAACCAGTCTTTGATCACACGTTACATTTCATTGTTATGCCTCTCTTCAGCCTCTGTTAATCTGGAAAGTTTCTTATTTCATGACATTAATATTTTGCAAGAATTTGTCTCAGTTGGGGTTTGTGTCATTGTTTTCTGATGATTTGATTCATGTTATGCATTTTTGGCAGGAATATTGCATAGGTGATGTTTTCTCAGGGCATCATATCTGGGGTACATGATGTTGGCTTGTTTCATTATTCACGATGATAAATTTGACCACCTTATTCAGGGGGGTGTGGCAGGCTGAAAAATGGCCTCCAAGAGGCATTTACACGAAATCCTTAGAACCCATGAATGTGAACTTTAATGGAAAAGGGGTCTTTACTGACATGATTAAGTTAAGGATCTGTGACATAAATGTCATCACAAATGTCCTTATGAGAAAGAGAGAGAGATCTGGCACACAGAAGCACAGGAGAATAACAATGGAGGTAGAGATTGGAGTGATAGGGCTGTAAGCCATGGAAGCTGGGCAGCCATTAGAAGCTGGAAGAGACAGGGAATGGGTTTTCCCTTAGTATCTGTGGAGGGAGTGTGGCCCTGCTGACACCTTGATTTTGGCCTTCTGGCTTCCCAAACTGTGAAAGAATAGATTTCTGTGGTTCTAAGCCACCACGTGGTAATTTATTACAGTCTCTACAGAAAATGAACATAGGGGTATCCATCAGTTTAGGGAATTTCAACGGTACTGCAACTTAACTTAGAAAATTTTTACCAGAGAGTGATTGACTGCTTCTTCTGGCTTCCCAAACTGTGAAAGAATAGATTTCTGTGGTTCTAAGCCACCACGTGGTAATTTATTACAGTTTCTACAGAAAATGAACATAGGGGTATCCATCAGTTTAAGGAATTTCAACGGTACTGCAACTTAACTTAGAAAATTTTTACCAGAGAGTGATTGACTGCTTCATCCATTTAAGAAAAAGTTTTCTGCACATTTAATATACTTATAGCTGTACCTAGGTGTGTGGAAAATAACACTAGGCTAAATTAGACTTGTAATTATTCAGTCAAGAGAATAATTTAATATATTTAAATATACTTTAAAAGTGAAAAACCTGAGTCATCATTCCTAATGAATGAGTCACATATAATTGGGTAGTGACTGATGTCATAGTCATTATGTTAATTAAACAACTGGGAGCTCATTCATGTATAGCAAGCCGTTACTTTTTTTTTTTTTTTTTCCTTTTTTGTCTTTTTTCGTGACCGGCAATGGATCGCAACCCTCAGTGTCGCGCCCGTACCAGACTGGGACCGGCAACGGGATTGCAACCCTTGGTGTTGCGCCCGCACCTCGCTCAGCTAGTGAGTGGCCGGTCTGTATGTGGGATCCAAACCCTCGGCGGGAGCGCCGCCGTGCTCCCAAGCGGCGCACTGTAGCAGGGCGCCACCGGGCCTGCCCGCAAGCCGTTACTTTTAAAGGAGGCTAGAGAGCCATAACCGTGAAGTACAGGATGTTAATTCATCCTTATCTTCGTCTCAAGAACTTTAAAATGGGGATTTTATGTTATTTTACAGAAGGACTGATTTGGGAATAGTCAAATAGTTTCTGCCTTTCCTCCAGTATATCTTAGTCCAAGAAAAGTAAGCCAAATGCATCTTTCTTATGTGGAATCAAATGTCGCAATATTCATGGTGAAAAAGTGTTGGGGTGTTGAGGCCACACACCTCCTCCTGGGTCAGAGAACTAGCCACGACCCCACCCACATACGCATATGTAATCTGTTGAAAACATGCGCCTGGACAGGAGAGATAAAGATGGCTCCTGATGGAAGCCGCCAGGGAGTAGCCAAGGAAAGACATAGTTTAAATTATTGGATAAAAGATATTTCCGCGGGCCGGCCTGGTGGCACACTGCTACAGTGCGCCGCTTGGGAGTGTGGCGGCGCTCCCGCCGAGGGTTCGGATCCCACATACAGACCGGTTCCCGCTCACTGGCTGAGCGAGGTGCGGGCACGATGCCGAGGGTTGCGATCCCGTTGCCGGTCCCGGTTCGGTACGGGCGTGACACTGAGGGTTGCGATCCGTTGCCGGACACGAAAAAAGACAAAAAAAAGATATTTCCGCGCTCGTGCTCACCATGTGATTGCAATAGCAAAGCATTAGAGCAAGATGCGTGTTCACATGACCTTTAAGGTGATAGGCTGAAGTTAGGAAATCCCCTTGCCATATGCTTATAAAAGCAGGTGCTTGTGTGAAAATAAACGGAACTGCTTGATGGAACCCCTGCTGTGTCTGAGTGTCTCTCTGTGGGCTGAATAGGTGGGCAGCATACTCACCTTCCTCCTGGGCTCTCCTGGCCACTAGGGTGGCAGGAGTAATCCTACTGGTTACCTCTCTTGCTCATCCTGTGGTGGGGGGCTAAAAGGGGCTAGTGGGAGGTTTGGGGCCTGCTGCCCCTGAACCCCACAAAAAAGTAGATTCCACAATTAGATTAGAAGGGTTTGTTCAGCACATACTAATTTTGTGCTTATTATATGTCAAGTAGCCAAGGATATGCAGTGTACAAAACAAAGTGCTTCCTCTTTTGGAGCTTACATTTTAGTGAATAGAGACAGACAGTAATTAACAGGTAATGCATAATTTCAAACTGAGATAAGTTCTTTGAAAAAATATTTCATGAAGATAAGGAGGAGACATTGTGTGCCTGGGAGGATAGGGAGTGCTAGCTGTTTCATGCAGAGGTATTGGAGAAAGCTTCAAATTTGAACATAAATCTTGAACAACCAGTAGGACAAAGAAGAAATCATGAAGGAAGTTAGTAAGTACTTTGAGATGAATGAAACTAAAAACACAACATTCCAAAAGTTATGGAATGCAGCAAAAGCAGTGTTCATGGGAAATTTAGAAATGTAAATACCTATATTAAAAGATCTCAAATCAATAAACTAACTTTACTCCTCAAGAAATTAGAAAAGAAGAGCAAACTTAATTGAAAGCCAACAGAAGGAAAGAAATGATAAAGATTAGTATGGAGATAAACGAAGTAGAGAATAGAAAAACAATACAGAGAATCAATGAAACCTGAAAATTTTTTTTTTGAAGATCAACAAAATTGTCAAAATTTTAGCTCAACTGACTAAGAAAAAACAAAGAAGGTGCAAATAACTAAAATCAGAAATGAAAACACGGACATTTCTGACCTGATAGAAACAGGATTATAAGACAATACAGTGAACAATTGTACACCAACAAATTAGATGACCTGCGTGAAATGGACAAGTTGCTAGAAACATTAAAATTACTGATTCAAGAAGAAATAGAAAACTTGAACAAACCTGTAACAAGTAAAGAGACTGAACTAGTAATCAAAAGCCTCCCAGGAAAGAAAAGTTGAAGGCAAGTGACTTCACTGCTAAATTCTACCAAGCATTTAAAGAATTAACACCAAAACTTGTCAGATGTTTTCAGAAAATTGGAAAGGAAAGAACACCTTTTATTTTTTATTTATTTATTTTTTTACTGTTTTTGAGTGGGAAATGACTTTTTTAAAAAAAATTTTATTTTATTTTGTCAATATACAATGTGGTTGATTTTTATGGCCCGTTACCGAAACCTCCCTCCCTCTTCCCTCTCCCCCCTCCCTCCCAACAGTCTCCTTTCTGTTTGCTTGTCCTATCAACTTCAAGGAATTATAATTGTTGTGTCTTCTTCCCTTCCTCCCCTAGGTTGTTTGTGTATTTATTCATTTATTTTTTAGCTCCCACAAATATGTGAGAACATGTGATATTTCTCTTTCTGTGCCTGACTTGTTTCACTTAATATAATTCTCTCTAGGTCCATCCATGTTGCTGCAAATGGCAGTATTTCATTCTTTTTTATCGCAGAGTAGTATTCCATTGTGTAGATATACCACATTTTCTGTATCCACTCATCTAATGATGGACATTTGGGCTGGTTCCAACTCTTAGCTATTGTAAGTAGTGCTGCAGTGAACATTGGAGAACAGGTATATCTTCAACTTGATGATTTCCATTCCTCTGGGTATATTCCCAGCAGCGGGATAGCTGGGTCATATGGTAGATCTATCTGCAATTGTTTGAAGAACCTCCATACCATTTTCCATAGAGGCTGCACCATTTTGCAGCCCCACCAACAATGTATGAGAGTTCCTTTTTCTCCACAACCTCGCCAGCATTTATCATTCATAGTCTTTTGGATATTAGCCAACCTAACTGGGGTGAGATGGTATCTCATTGTGGTTTTGATATGCATTCCACGTATGCTGAGTGATGTTGAGCATTTTTTCATGTGTCTGTTGGCCATTCATATATCTTCCTTTGAGAAATGCCTATTTAGATCTTTTGCCCATTTTTAAATTGGGTTACTTGTTTTTTATTTATAAAGTTGTTTCAGTTCCTTGTATATTCTGGATATTAATCCTTTGTCACATGTATATTTTGCAGATATTTTCTCCCACTCTGTTGATTGTCTTTTAACTCTGTTAATTGTTTCTTTTGCCATGCAGAAGATTTTTAATTTGATATAATCCCATTTGTTTATTTTTCCGTTGGTTGCCCATGCTTTTGGGGTCATTCATGGAGTCTGTGCCCAGTCCTACTTCCTGAAGTGTTTCTCCTCGTTTTTTTGAGAAGTTTTATTGTTTTAGGGTGTATATTTAATTCGTTAATCCATTTTGAGTTGATTTTGGTATATGGTGAAAGGTATGGGTCTAGTTTCATTTTCCTGCATATGGATATCCAGTTATCCCAGCACCATTTGCTGAAGAGGCTGTCCCTTCCCCAGTGTATAGGCTTGGTGCCTTTGTCAAAGATCAGATGGCTGTAGGTGTGTGGGTTGATTTCTGGATTCTCTAGTGGGCTTTTCAGGTCCCCTGCTATTATGGTATTCGTGTCTATTTCCTTCTTTAGGTCCAATAGAGTTTGCTTTATAAATCTGGCTGCTCTGACATTAGGTGCATATATATTTATGATTGTTATGTCTTCTTGATGGGTCAATTCTTTTATCATTATGCAGTGTCCCTCATTATCTCTTTTTATGGTTTTTAGTTTAAAGTCTATTTTATCAGATATGATAATAGCTACTCCAGCTTGTTTTTCTTTTCTGTTTGCATGGTAAATCTTTTTCCATCTTTTCACTCTTCATCTATGTGAGTCTTTATAGGTGAGGTAGGTCTCTTGAAGGCAGCATATAGTTGGGTCCTCCTTTTTAATCCAGTCAGCCAGTCTGTCTCTTTTGATTGTGGAATTTATTCCTTTTACATTGAGTTGTTATTGAAAGGTGTTGATTTACTCCTAGCATTTTATTGAATTTTGTTTGGATGTCTTAAGTATCTTTTGTTCCTTTCTTTTTGATTTACTGTTTGTCTTCTGTATTTGTTGGTTCCTTGGGTTGTCAAAAACTTTGTTTTTCTCTTCATAGTTGCCATTTTTATTTTACTAGTGGGTTTTGATTTTTCTTGAGTTTTTATGGCAGTGGTAGTTATTTTTCAGATACCAAACCCGGTCCTCTCTTGAGAATTTCTTGTAAGGGTGGTTGTGTGGTAGTGAAGTCATGCAGTTTTTGTTGGTCTGAGAAATATACTATTTGCCCTTCATTTCAGAAGGATAGCCTTTTGGGGTAGAGTATTCTTGGCTGGCAATCTATGTCTTTCCTTCTGGAATACCCATGACTCAGATATTTGAGCGCTTCAGGTTGTCTGATATCTCCTTAGATTTTCTTCAATGTTTTTAATTCTTTTTTCTTTTTTTTTGTCTGCCTGTGTTATTT